TGAGTGGATCTTATAGGGACACTCGAAAAAACAGCAGGCCTAAGACAAAAAAAGCAAGACTGACTGGTACAAAAAAATGTGAATGTCCTTTTTATTGAAGGGCAAAAAATTAGCCACAAATGATGACTAGATCTTGATAGTTGTTTGTGGTGTGCATAATCATCCTGCTGCAGACTATCTTGAGGGTCATTCTTATGCTGGAAGGTTGTCACATGAGGAAACCTCTTTGTTGGTAGACATGTCGAAGAGTATGGTACGATTGAGTGAGATATTGGTTACATTGAAACAGCGTGATGATGCAAATGCTTCCACAATGAAGACAATTTACAATGCACATCATAGGTATAAAGTTGCTGAAAAAGCTGGGAGATCTCAAATGCAACAACTATTAGGTCAGTTAGCGATGAACAAGTACATTGAGTGGCATGGAAGCTGTGCAGATACTGAGACAGTAACCGATTTATTCTTTGCACATCCTACTAGTTTGAATTTATTACGTGCATTTCCAAAAGTATTGTTGATGGATTGTACTTATAAGACCAATTGATATCGGTTGCCCGTTTTGGAGATTGTAGGTGTGACATCGACTGACATGACCTTTTCAGTTGCATTTGCATACCTCCAGTATGAGAAGGAGGATAACTACACATGGGCACTTGGTATTTTGCGTAGTGTCATGGATGAAAATACTCTTCATTCTATTATTGTCACAGATAGAGAATTGGCCCTTATGAATGCCATATGTATGGTGTTTCCTGCAACTACAAATTTGTTGCGTAGGTGGCATATTGGAAAAAATGTGCTTGCTAATTGCAAAAAAGATGTTTGAGACAAAAGATAAATGAGAAATGTTAATAATGAGTTGGAATATGTTGGTTATGTCATCGTCTAAAGAAGTATACATGCAACGACTGTCTTTGTTATATAGTGAGTTCAATACTTATCAAGATGCACTTCATTATGTTAGCTCATCTTGGTTGGATACATACAAGTCGAAATTTGTGGTAGCTTGGACTGACACATTTATGCACTTTGGAAATTCTACAACAAATAGGTAAATACGAACATTTAAATTTATTAGTTTTTTGGTTTTTTATTACATTATTTTTATAACAGTTTTTTTCATATATAGGGTTGAGAGTTCACATGCAAAACTTAAAAGACATCTTGGATCAAGTCAAGGAAATTTTGAGTCGAATTGGACAAGGATACACAATTTACTTGAGTTGCAACATAGTGAAATAAAATCATCATTTGAGAAAAGTAAGATAATTGTGCAACATGATTTCAAACCTGTGCAGTTTTAGGAGCTTCATGGTAATGTCTCAATTACTGCATTAGAGATCATATTGGCAGAGTCTAAATGAGCATCTTCTGTTGGTATTGATATTACTGCATGTGGATGTGTCGTTCGATGTACTCATGGTTTGCCATGTGCACATGAGATAGGAAATTACATGAGGGAAAATCGGTCAATTCCCCTCACTTCAATTTATTCATATTAGACTAAGCTTGATATGTTGAGTACCCCGCACACTGTAAGTGAAGAGTGGACTTGTACACCTGAGTTAGAATTGTTTCCTAAACAATTCGAGGAGGTGGATCCAGATGTGAAGAGGTTTTTGTTACAGAAATTGAGAGAGTTAGCCAAACCTGATTGTACATTTTTTATTGAGCCGAAAGTGAAGTCTAATCCACGGGGTTGGCCAAAATTGAAGATTGATACCTCCACTCGTCATGAGCCATCTGAGTTTGAAATAGTTGCTTCAGCACAAGATAGTCATCCACCCGGAGTCATTGCCAAGGCGAGTGTAACAACAAAAAAGGTGAAAATAAAGAAGAAAGAAAAGGTACATGGTTTACTAGTGAGGTATGTAATTGTATCATGTTGTCTACTTTATTGTCTAACATTGGCACTGGCCTGTGATAGGTTCACTGGCTTCGATCATTGAATCCAAATTGGTTTTTAGAAGCATTCCATTCTGAATTGAGACGATATATTAAATACGTTAAGGATGTTGCAGCATATGGCAATTGTGGGTTTTGAGCTATTGTTGGTTTGGTGGGTTTTGGAGAAGAAGGATGGTTACAAGTGAGAAAAGATTTACTTAAAGAGTTGCATGCGCATAGTGACCACTATAGGAAATTATTTGGATCACAACAGAGAATCGATGACCTTACTAACATCTTGGCATATTTTGAACCAAACCCTAGGTTGGACCAGTGGATGACGATGCCTGACATGAGTCATCTTATATCGTCTTTCTACCAAGTCGTTTTGGTCCACTTGTCTATGCAACAATGTTTGACATTCCTCCCTCTTAGGTCAATACCGACGTCTGCTGCCTCTCGCAAGGAGTATATAATTGTGTCATGTTGTCTACTTTATTGTCTAACATTGGCATTGGCATGTGATAGATTCACCAGCTTTGATCATTGAATCCAAATTGCTTTTTAGAGGCATTTCCTTCTGAATTGAGACGATATATTAAATACAGTAAGGATGTTGCAGCAGATGGCAATTGTGGGTTCCGAGCTATTGCTGGTTTGATGGGTTTTGGAGAAAAAGGATGGTTACAAGTGAGAAAAGATTTACTTAAAGAGTTGCATGCGCATAGTGACCACTATAGGAAATTATTTGGATCACAACAGAGAATCGATGACCTTACCAACACCTTGGCATATTTTGAACCAAACCCTGGGTTGGACCGATGGATGACAATGCCTGACATGGGTCATCTTATACCGTCTTTCTACCAAGTCGTTTTGGTCCACTTGTCTATGCAACAATGTTTGACATTCCTCCCTCTTAGGTCAATACCGACGTCTATTGCCTCTCATAAGGAGATATGTATTGGCTTTGTCAACAACAATCATTTTGTTCAAGTATTAGTTTCTAATATTTTTGTACATTCTTGTACATTATAACGACAAATTTTTTAATAATGACAACATTTTTGTACATTCTAATATTTTTTATTTTTTATTATTTATTTTTTTGTAACTCATTTTGGAGCCTGGTCATCCTATTCCACTCATAGCAACTAACTAGCAGAGGTATCATGATCCTTGTGCAGTAGGCTGGGAGGTTACATATAGTTCCAGAGTACAACATTTCAAATCACTCATCAATCTAGACGTAGCCACAGTCGAAACAATAGACCTGGATAAGGACTAATGTCATACGAGTGAGTTAGGAAATAGAATTAGAATAGATTTAAGTTATGTAATTTTCTTTGTTAAACTAGCTTAGAATGGAAAAGAGTGAATTGGAATGGATTTAATTCACGTTATTTTCTTTGTTCTAATGAATTGGAATGGTAAACAGTGAATTGAAATGAATGTTATTTTCTGTGTTGTACTGAATTGAAGTTGATGAAAAAAGTGAATTGGAATGGATTCAAGTTACACAGTGGTGAACAAATTTTGTTTGGACATACAGTGCTGACTGGATCACTATTGTTCGATAATACAGTTCTAAACAAAAATATATTTGTTCAGCTATACAGTGCTGAACGAATTGTTTTTTATTCGATTCTGCATTGCTGAAATGAGTAGGCCAGCAATTGTGATTGGGCCAGCAAGCATTTATGTTCAGCACTACAGTACTAAAAAAACCATATATGTTCGGCATTACAGTGAGAAACAAAGACTACATGTTCGGCATTACAGTGCTGAGTGAGTTATTTTGATTCGATTTTACAGACGAGGAGAATTTGTTCGGCTAGTCAGTGATGAACATAAAATTCATGTTTATTCATTAGTCCAGATTTGTTTATTCAACGATGACCATAAAGCAATAAACAAACCAATATTTCAAACAAACAAACTATCAAACCAATTCAAACTATCAAACCAATTCCAAACCATCAAACCAATTCTAAACCATCAAAATAATTCATTGAGTGCCCAAAAAGGTATAGTAACGTCATATACAAGCCTAGCTCATACTTGTGTCATATACAAACCACCATCAAAATGTATGCCAAAAATTTTTCTCAGACAAACTAACATATACTAAAGTGTTATCTGACCTTTGTTATACTTGTGTCTAACACCATCAAAAAGTCTAACAAATGTTTGAGACTAAGCTTTCAAAATACACATTTAAAACATTTGAACCCAACAAATATTAAAGTCTAAGACGTTGCTCTACGATTCCTGCGATGAGTGTACACCAAGTTCTCTGATGGTGTATGTTCTTCAGTGGACTGTTGGCCCTCCAAGGCTTGTGTTATCTTCTTCATAGCATTGCGTAACATATCTCGGGTTGGAGCTGCTTCATTGTATCCAATTTAAAGCATTGAACGTGAAATACTCAAGGCACTGTCAATGCGCTGCAAACAATAAAATAAAACTTAACGATTGCCTTAAACAAAATATATATAAAAATGAAAATGGTAAAAGTTGACATACGAATTGAAGTTGACGATAATCAGCTGATGGCTCAGAGCGTGGATTATACTTAGAACAATGTGTCGGGTTTTGAACTTGTACGTGTGAAATGGAAGTAAACCAGTCCAAGTAACCTAGCACACAACCCCATGGATGCAAGACTAGAACACTACGCGCTGTCTCAGACAACAAGTGATTTTCCCAACTCTCCCAAATCGTATCCAAGTATTTATAGGCAATGCTGTACTATTTTGCAGTGGATCCTTTAGAGGCTCGAACTTGAGCAAGTGGAGGTGAGGGAATAATTTGCACCCTACTAAACTATCTTAGTACCCTATCTGGATGGTATGGTTCAACAATGTGCATACATTTTAAGCATCCATTATAGTAAGCAACATCAGAAAAATGATGCTCAATATGCTTATAATGGTATGGATCCCAAATAACCTACAATAGTAAAAATTTTATATGTAAGTTATGAATTAGATTGAATCATAGCAAGTAATATGTACATACATTGACATAAGATTGAGACTTACGTCATGGGCCTCTAATCTGTCGAGGTCCTCTCGTAACCTTTGTAAAATAGACGTTGATGAACCAAATTAGGTGCGAGAAATCCAATGAAAGACACGAGGCTGATCTTCTTTATAGTCCAAATTGGGGTGGGGTCTAGCACCAACAAAATGCTTGTAAATCCAAGCTTCCAGCAATGTCATGTATCCCGCCATCTGTATTACAGCATACCTTGTGGCAGTACCCAATTGCAGGTATAAAAAAGCCAATGCGGCTGCCACCCAAGCATAAGAAGCAACCGATCGCAAATCCATAAGAAAAGACAAATACACTACCGGAACACGTGTGCCTGTCTTGTCTGCAAATAAGGTATAACCTAACAAATATAACAAACATGCCCTAGTTGTACACTCAATGATATTATCATTGTCCACATTAGACACTGACCCAAACCATTGTCTCAACCATTCTGCCTTGATAGACTGGCTCCGTGCTACCTTCAACGCTACATTTGCCTCATCTATTATTACTTCCAAAGCCTTAACTAGCAGATTTGCAGCATCAATATTTGATAAATTCTTGCAAGAGACTGATTTACCAATCACTGGAATCCCTAAAATTACACTAACATCATCTAAGGTTGGTGACATCTCACCAAATGGTAGATGAAACGTGTTTGTCTCTGGCTGCCATCTTTCTACAAAGGCCGAAACTATAACTTTGTTTACAAATTCATATGAGCAACTCACTAAAGAAATCAACCCCGAATCCATAATTAAACCATGAAATTTGGACTGTTCATTCTCTTCCAAGTTAAATGACCATTCACTAACTTTAAAACCATGATTTAAGCATTTACGTATTTCACGTTCCTGTAACATAGAATGAAAAAAAGAAAAAAAAAAGAATTAGTAAAGTTGAAACAAAATTTAAAACATTAAATTAATGTAAGACTATGACTTACATCATTATGCCAAATTTTGGCTGTTACGTGACAATGAAAATTCTTCAAAATTGAAGGGTCATATGGCTCTCCAGGAAAAGGTCCAGTAAGATCTTCATTAACTTTTTCAGTTGTATCTGCTGGTTGGTCTTCATAGTCACCCATGTCTGTTGGTTCATAACCCATATCTATTGGTTCATCACCCAAATCATCACCCATGTCACTCACATTCAATTGATTGCCTCCATCGTTTTCAACCTCAACCATTTTTGCTAAAGCAACATCTATGTCATTCATGTTATGTTCATTAACGCCACTACCTTGATCCTTAGTCTTACGAGTGCGTCGAGGTCTCTTAGCCACTTTTTGAGAAAGTACAACATTATGTCTCCTAGACGCTGTTGGGCGATCTCGAGCAGTTTCCACCCACCAAGTACAATTAGATGTTAGTCAATGACAATGTAAGCAAATATATCCAATGTCAATTACCCTTAATAATATAGTTAGTCCTTCCTATGTATCGAAAATGCATGTCATCTAGGGACATTAAATATATAACTTATAAGCCATTGAAGCCTATTTTAAATAGGTGTGCCGTGACCAATTCAAATAGGAAACAACAAACTAAGATAGTTTCTTACCAAACACAAAATGAATAAATGATAAAAAGAAACTACTAAAAATAAGATATTTGAGTTGGACCAAAATTTGAGAATTGTAATGCATTAGAAGCATGCCAAGAGCAAGGCCATCAAAAAAAAAAATCCTAAATAAAATTATAGACAAAAACAAAACTTTCCAAAAATATGCAAAAATTTGAGAGCCTAAACAATGGAATTTGGTATTAAAAACAAAAAAGGCTTAGTACACAGCAAAAGCTGTGTGTTTTGCTTCTTAGGACATTTCGGATTGATTATAAGTACTTCAAGAAAATTCAACATTGGCCCAAAGCCTATAATTGCAATATAATCACATGCATCTCCAAGTTGATATAATGTGCTAAAATTAGCACTGTTTTCAAACAGCCCACCTACCTCTTGTTAGGTTTATGATGTGTATTGTGCTAATTAGAGTTAGTTCATGTAGAAGCTACTAGTACAAGTGTTGTATGATTATGTGGCTATAAGTTGATGTATGAAAATACATGGAAAAGAAGCTAAAAATGTGAATTAAATAATATGGCTGGTTGTTGCCTTGTTTGCCTCCTCTTTTCCTTTTTTTTTTTTTTTTTTGTGTGCAGAAAATTCAGATATAAGTTTTATACTATATGTACAGTACAGACATAAAAGGGACAAAACCAATGGCAATGGCAATGGCAATGGCAATGCCTTACAGCAACAGAAAAGGGACAATTTTATACTATATGTGTAGTACAGACATAAAAACTTCACACTTAAAAACAACTGGTCCCAACACTCCAAGACAAAGGATCAGCCAAACAAATTTTGTTTTCTTTATGCACAAACTTTCCAAAAAGGGTGCAAAAATTTGAGAGCCTAAACAATGGAATTTGGTATTAAAAACAAAAAAGGCTTAGTACACAGCAAAAGCTGTGTGTTTTGCTTCTTAGGACATTTCGGATTGATTATAAGTACTTCAAGAAAATTCAACATTGGCCCAAAGCCTATAGTTGCAATATAATTACATGCATCTCCAAGTTGATATAATGTGCTAAAATTAGCATTGTTTTCAAACAACCTACCTATCTCTTGTTAGGTTTATGATGTGTATTGTGCTAATTAGAGTTAGTTTATGTGGAAGACAACTAGTACAAGTGACTATAAGTTGATGTATGAAAATACATGGAAAAGAAGCTAAAAATGTGAATTAAATAATCTGGCTGGTTGTTGCCCTGTTTGCCTCATCTTTCCCTTCTTTTTTTTTGCAGAAAATTCAGATATAAGTTTTATACTATATGTACAGTACAGACATAAAAGGGACAAAACCAATGGCAATGGCAATGGCAATGGCAATGCCTTACAGCAACAGAAAATGGACAATTTTATACTATATGTGCAGTACAGACATAAAAACTTCACACTTAAAAACAACTGGTCCCAACACTCCAAGACAAAGGATCAGCCAAACAAATTTTGTTTTCTTTATGCACAAAGAAAACACAATCAAAATACCCAACACTCCAAGACAAAGGATCAGCCAAACATATTTTTCTAAAAGACAAAGGGTTCTAATATTTATTTATTTTTTAAATTTTATTTCTAGTTGGTATGTAGACTTCTATTACATTATAATATTCAAGCCATCCATTAGATTATAATATTCAGACCTCTATTCTAAAAAAAAATTGAATTTTATGTGGAATCAGGCCATCCATTACATTGTAATATTCTCCCAAAATTAGGATTTTGTGTGGTTGTGGTTTTGGTTGGTAAAGGGTTTTTTGTTTGTGTGGTTATGATTAATTGAAGAGAAAAGAGAAGTAAATTATACCTTTGACGGTAGATGAAAAAGTTTACAGCACTTGTAAGAAAAAAGAAATAAATCACACCTTTGTGTGGTTATGATTCAAAAGTGTTGAATTTCCGAAAAATTACAGCAACACTTGATTCGAAAGTGTTGAAGCACTTGTAAGGAAAAAAAAAAAAAAAGAGGGTAAAGTAATGTCCCAAGCACTTCAGCAGCAAAATGGATTCAATTGGTGTGGAGAAGATGAATACACTAGACCGACACCCAGGGAAGGAGAGGTATAAAAAATTAGGTAAATGTATGTTTGATTGTGAAAATATTATGAATATAAATAAATTTGATAATAAGTGAGGTGTCAAATAAAATATTATTAAAATTTAAAATTTAGGATTAGAATCCAAGGATATTAGTGATCCAAAATTTTTTAATAAGTACTAATAACAGCTCTTAATTAAGCGATGTGCCTTGAGACCTGCTGTATAAATAGACCCCCACAACTCTCAAGCAATTTCTGTGTCTCTGTCTGTGGCTCCAAACATTAAAAACGCACGCTGGCCGAGGCGTTTAACCGCTAAAAACACAGCCACGGCGAGTGCGAACAACGAAATTTTCTCGGAAAGAAAATTAGAAGGAAATTTTCCGGGAAAATTTGTAAGTTCATTCCATTCACTTGCCAATTCTATTTCAGATCTGTTGTTGATTCTCAAGCCAAATCTCGAACTCGTCTCTAGCGCTACAATCTATATGTGTTCGTTAGAGATGTTCCGATTACAGCAAGAGAAGATCAGAAAACGACGACAACTTTGATTTCTATTTTCAATCGATTGAAACGATTCTAGGGTTTTTGATTCTATGGCCGACGCGCTCTCTGTGATTCCTCCCGTCGTTCTCCGAAACCTCTCCGACAGACTCTACGAGAAGCGGAAGAATGCTGCTCTTGAAGTACTCTTTTTGCACTCACTAGAATTTTCTATCTCTTTTGTGTCTCAATTTTTGAGTTGATCATCGTTCTAAGGTTTTTGGTGCTTTGATTTTGGGTGAATGAATGTTTGATGATTGTGCAGATTGAAGGAATCGTGAAGCAGCTAGCGGCGGCGGGAGAGCATGATAAGATTACGGCCGTGATAAATTTGTTGGCCAATGAGTTCACGTACTCGGCACAGGTGAATCGCCGGAAAGTAAGTAGCCAGGTTTGAAAACTAGGGTTTTACTGTATATATATAGTGGTGTTCTATGGTTTTGGGGAAACACTATGGTAGCCACCCCTGAAAGGGTGTGTAGCATATGCAAGATACTTTCTGAGTCCTATCTTAAAAAAGTATGTCATAACCAAAGAACTTACAAGTCATAACTAAAATAATGTCACAATGAATAACTTTTAACACAAAAATGGCATATCTAAGGGTGTATATGGTACATGCCTTTCAAGGGTGTGTATATTTGAATTTCCATGGTTTTGGTATTTATTTTGAATCTTGATTTCTATTTATTTTAAGGGAGGATTGATTGGACTGGCTACAGCCACTGTTGCTTTGACTGAGTTTTAGAATTTTAGTATATGTCTTGAATAATAGGCCAAGTGAAAAATCCCTTTTGATTCTTTCAACTTGAATTTATTTATTGGGGATTGATCTTATTTTGTTTTGGTGAGGCCTATTCATAGCTTTTCTGCGGCTGAGAAAGTAACCAGGAACTTCTTAGAACTTTTCCTATTAATTATGTTGATAAATTAGGATCCCCATTTACTTGAAGTCTCAACACTTTACTGAAAAAATGGAAAGGTACAACAATACAAAATATAGATACATTTGACACTAGGAACTTTCATAAATAAAATGCTTTCAGCAATCTTAGGTGCTAAGCATCAAGTTTAAAGGCTATGTTGTCTTCTTTCAGTTCACATGAAGTTTAACCTATTCTAGGTTGAATGCTTGTCATACCAAGTTGCATTAATTGCCTCTTGTTGGAGGAGTTGTCTGTTTGAATTTTGCAACTGAAGGTTTGATAAAGATTGTCATATTATCATGATAATCTTCACATCATTAAATTTAAAGTGATCTCCCTTATGTCCTTGATCTTGTAGAGTAGTGTTACCTAAAGTTTTTAGAGATGAATGCATAACTTGAGGTGTTTTACCACTCATGAGGTGAGGCGTAAGTTTTAAGGCATCGAGGTGTAGGAGTTTCAAATTTTAAATGATAATATTTAGTAAATAAATTAAATATTTTAAAATAGTAAAAATTAAATATGAAGCTGTAAATACTTTTTTCCTTAATGCGTTGAATATTTCAGTGCAAAGAATGAAACTGGCCTTCTTTGAAAGTGAAATTGATATTCTTAACTTCAGTAATTGAGCCTCTCACTTGAACATTAACTTTGTGTTTTTTCTTGATTAGTCATTTACTTAATTTTTTCTATAGAACATAGTTGCAAGAAGGATTCTTTCTTATTTTTTGTTTTTTATATTTAAACCATCTTCTAGACTAAGTTTAATAAGAGCCTAAGGCAGCCTCTTCATATGCATACGACTCATATGCTTATGCACAAGGTGCACCTACAGCGCATGCCTTAGACTGTCATGCGCAAGCTTTTAGGGAGTATAGCCTAAAATCAAAGCCTTGATGCGTTTTTACCTTAGCCTTAGGGCGAGGCGAGTATCGAGGCGAGTCTTAGTGAAGTTTTTTTAAATTTTGGTGTTACCAATGCTGATATATGATCATGAGGTAGACGAAGGTAACAATTATGTCATATATGTGAGTATGGGGCCCTTTTTTGTTATTCTAAATTCTTGGACGGGCTCACAAGTTGCTAGGAAAGATTTTGACATCAAATTGAAGTAATCCACTAGCAATTCAAAATAAGAAAATAAATAATATTTTATTTGCAAGGAGAAAGAGATAGAATTGAATAAGGGTGAAGAAATAAGAGTATGGGGCCCTTTTGCTGTTATTCTAAAACTCTAAAACCATTCATCTAGGATTACCTGACTTTGTTGTTGCTTTATAGAAGCTCCACTAACGCGACTTGAACCAGTCAACCTTGGTGATCTTCTGATTCTTCCTTCATTTGAAAATTTCATCCTCGAAATTGATTTATGGTACTGTTCTTTTTGTTTCCGTTGCGCACTCTAATATAATTATTTCCTACTATTCTTTTTGGGTCTTGACCTTGATCTTCGCCTTACATCTCAAACTTCCTCCTTTAATTTTTCTTTCTTAGTCTTTGGTTGGATCTTTGCTTTCAATTTCAAATCTTTCACAATGTCTGATTCCTTTGTCCTAATTACAATTTTACGAGCTAGTATACTTTTGTTAAATCAAAATTTACTATTTTGACAATCTTTCTTATACCAAATGATTGTTGAAACTAATTCATACTTTCATCATCAACCTTCCCTCCTTTTAGTTGCACAAAAGTACATGAGATAATCAGACTTAATATACTTGACAAAACATAAACAAAAGCAAAAGCCTCAATTATCATTTTGCGTCTGATAATCGTTCATATACGAAAAATACCATGTCTTCCTTTTTGAGAGGTCAAAATGTTGACAATGTGGTCTTAATAAATTAAATTGTTCTCATTCTAACATTAAATAGGCTTAGTTTCATTGGTTTAAATCTTAGTCATATAGTACCAATTCTAGCAATTTCGGGTCACGTTTCAAATGGCCAAGTAAATGGATCCTGAATTTATCAAAAATCGAATAAGACAAATACAAATGAAGACATATATATTCAATTTCTAACTTAAGACTTCTTGCATGTTCTTAACATGTTCCCATTGATCTCTTCATTAAGTACTAACCATTGATCTCTTTATTAAGTACTAACCTTTAAAGTGATTGAATAACTTGAGATATCCTTAAGTCTTTGGACAATTCTTCACTTGATGCTCTATTTCTCCCTATCTAAAACATGCTCCAGTAAGCCAATGACACGACCCCCTATGAGGCTTGAAACACGTTGAACATATTGGGGCAGACCTACTCCGTCTACAACCTTACTTAGAATTACTTGCCTCTCTTACCACAAAATTCTTAGACATACTCTGTGGTTCCTTCCTTGTCATCATGCCTAACTTCCTCTTTTGATCTTGCAATTTATCATAGCATTGCTGCATAGCTTCCATTACCCCCCCCAAGCACTTCTTCTATTTTGTCCAATCGTTCTGCCAAAGATTCAACTTCTTTTCCATTTTTACATTTCACTATCCTTCCTAAAGACACAATACAAGGGTTAATGATATTTAGGCTAATATAGACTAACGTAGAATATAACATAAAACACATAACATATACAATTAAACATAACATACAATCATACAAGGACATTGGTAGGGTAACCTATTGAGGAAATATCATTTTGCCCCCAAACTTTCACACATTTTTCAATTTTACCCCCAGACGTCGATTAATATCAATTTTACACCCGAACTTTCGAAATTTTGATCAATTTGGCCTCTGCTGTCACATTTTGTCTACAATTGGATGAAATGTTCTAACGTGGCACCAAAATTCATTTTGAACTTATTTTACCCCCCCAAACTATACCTTAAAAATCATGTTAACCCACAAATATAAAAAAATTAAATTTAAATATTTAATAAATATTTTTTTATCTCAATAATGAAAAAATTAAATTTTAAATAATATATCATTTGTAAGGAAAATAATAAAAAATATAAAAATTCTCATGTAGAATTATCTACAGACTATGAAGCATGAATAATTCGACAAACATATTGTACCCGTACCGGGTACTTACCGACGTATGGTATTTCAGCATACGTACTAGGTACACAAAACATGTATTCAAATTTATCCTTCTTAATTTTTGGTGTACCTAGACATATCTAGTATATACCCAAGTCGTGCCATACTTGAGTTGAAACAATATTTTCTTCTACTACAAAGATAAAATTCTTTGTATTGGACTTCTTTTTCAATTTTAGTTTTGTGCTTAGCATGGTTTTAAAATTAAGTTATGGTTTGTAAGTTATTTAATATAATGATATTTAATTTTGATTTATCTTGTACTTGGTACTTTTGACATTAAATGTCAATTGTATGTTGGATTTAACAAATTAAACTATTTAATCAATTTTTATATTATTCCAAATTAGAAACAAATATTTTCTTTACAAATGTATTAAGTTATACCAGTACCTTCTTCTTTTTTTTTATTTTTATTATTATTATTATTATAAATTTTACCATGTCAATGTACCCGTGTCGTACTAATACCAGTACTCATACCTGTACCTGTGCTTCATAGGTTTGAAATTATCTCGAGTCGATCCTGGATAAACTTATTTCAAAAAATCTTATTTTATTCCTAAGATTACTATTGAGTCCTGTCAAATTAAAGGGAAAATAATCAATGAATCGCATTTTATTCCTAAGATTACTAGAGTCTTATCAAAGGGAATAAAATAAGTTTTATTGATTATTTTCCCTTTAAAATTTATTAATTATTTTCTCTTCATAGGTCTGAAATTATCTTGAGTCAATCCAAACGTGTTGTTGTTAGTATCTCACCGAGCAATCCAAGTGTCTTGACTTTAAAGTGAATCACCTTACACCTTCATGCTTTTACTTTGGTGTGTATTTTTCTATAGATTTTAAAAATTTTGATGGTTAATTTTTGTATCAAATACGTCTGATATATACATAATACATGATAGAGTTTGTATGTAGGTAGGATCCATAAGGATCTCTATCTTTCAGTTGTGGGGATAAATTAAAATATGTATATTTTATTTTGAATTTGCAGGATACAATTTATCCAATTTTTTATTTAATTATCTTTTAAAAAGATAATATAGAACTTCTACTAATTGCAATAGTGTCCATCAACACGTTACAATTAAACTCCTAAAAGTAGAGAATTACAAGTGAAACCTTTTTTTACGATTGGTCACAAACTTCCTTCCACCAAACTATATTCCACATGAGCTACTAGGTATGGACAAATTTATCACTATCAAAAAATCCTAGCTCATGTAGGCAAATTCCAAATTTTCCCTTCTAATTGGATCCCAAAAGTATTTTTTAAAAATAGTACTTTTGTAATTATACATGTATAAAAATATTTTTATGAGAAAATTACCAGCCGGTTTTCTTTTGGTCCAACGTTAATAGGAAGAATTACTTGAATATATTGTCGCACTTTGAGAATGGTGGATTCCATGTTAAGCACCTATATAAAACCAATTACCACTCACATTACCCAACATGTCGGTGTATAGCCGTTGATTCGGTGTCATCGATTAACAATATCAAAGTTAAATGAATAGTTAATTAATTTATACAAGCCTCTCAAGTCAAAGGAAAATAAGTGCATTGTAATAGAACTACCTTTTAAACTGACAGTGATCATTCTATAGGTGTTCTCAAAACATGTACTTATTGCATAGCACCTACCTATTTGCCTAAGGTCACTACCGCAACTGATGAAATAAATCATTCTATCATAGAGCAACAAATCAGGTGTAGGCCATAGTAATGCGACGCCCAATCAACACCCATAGCCTATAACATTAATTG